CCAGCCTCCCCTTTAGTATGCTTGCTGGGCAACTTGGATGAGGTCACTGCAGAAATAAACACAGCCCACGTTGTTTTTACGGCCCTATGCATTGCCAAGAAAATGGTCCTCATTAACTGGAAAAATAAAAATAATCTTAATTCTAACCAATATAGAAACCATCTAATAGATCACATTAGTCTTGATACAACATCTGCCATCACATTTGATCAATCCCTTTGGGCTCCTTTGATCGGCTTCATCACCTAGTGGGGGTGGGGGGTCATGGTTTGGTCCTGCCTTCGCTATTGTGGTTGATATGGGGGTAGGGACGGCCTTAGGGCGTCTGGGGAGTCCCTAGGGACGTTTCCCTAGAGGGACTAACCTGGGGGATGTGGCCATGACCTGGTTAGGAGCTCTGGGGCTCTTGGATGGTGTTTTCCTTGTGGCTGCGTACAGCGGAGATGGGGGAGGGTCTGTGCTGGCGGACGTTGGTTACTGGCCTGGTAGCCTGGCTGCCCCTGGGAGGGTCCGGGACGGGCGTGGAGGCTTGGGGGTCTGGGGGTGCTCCGCCCCCCGGTCTGGGGTGCTGGCCGGGCCTTGGGGGCTTGGGTCCTGGCTGTTGTGTCGCCGGAGCAGTGGGCGGGTGGGTGCAGGGGGGCTCAGCCCCAGTGCAGGGGACCTCTGGTGCATCGGCCCTACTAGGGGGCTCTCTAACTGGTGGGGAGGTTGTTATATCTTTGCAGGTGGTCTCCTCACTACAGGAGCTCACTCTGCAGGTGGGGGGAGAGATATAGGAGAGGTGGAGAATGAACTCAACCTGGGTGTCTATTGTCTTGTGTAGTTTGGGAGATGATTGGATGATGGGGTGGGTGCAGTTTTCTCTGGGGTGGAGTCGGGTGGGCTGCCCCGGACTCTGTGGGGCTGGGCGGTGCTGCTGCTGCGGGCCCCGGTCCGGATGGGCCTGGGCCCCCTTGCCCTGGTGGGTTCCAGAGTGTGGGGGTGCCTACTGGGGTCAGCGGGGGAGCTGGCCCCAGGGAGGGGCCGCTTGCCCCTCCCTTTCTTCCCTCCCCATCCTCAGCTGCCTCCCTATTCCCGCTCTACCACACCCACCCACACACGCAGGGCTTGGGGTGCAGGTATGTCACCAGGGTGCAGGGGAGGCACTCCCCCTCTGTCCCCTTCTGGCCGCCTGTGCCTCAATTTTATTCTGCAACCTAGACATCCACATTACTCACACTCTCACATAACACATACATATAGGGCCTTGGGGGTGGGCACGTTTTACAGCATCCAGAGGATGGTCGGTGTACTCCAACCCACCTCTGGCGCTGGTGCCCTACCCTCAATTTTAAATGCATTTAGACACTAAGGGTTTTCGGGAGGAGCCGTGCTGCTCTCTGAGAGGAAGCTAGTACCATGCTCTCCTGAGTTTTAAATGCACTTTAGAACAGCACACAGCAACACTACATATGAGCGGGCGTAGGGAGGTTTGAGGTCTTCACTCACCCCGGTTCTGTTAGCCGTCAGGGCTGGGGGGCTGGGAGGAGGTGCTGGCCGTCAGACTGGGGTCTGGGATGCGGGGCCTCCCTGCTACTGCAGATAAGGAGGTGGTCCGCTTGCCTCCACCCCAGAGAGAAGGGTTACATCTCCTGGGTCTAGGTGCGGCTTGCCCCTCTGAGGGCGGGGGTACCTGGACCTGGGATATAGAGTATGTTTGGGGAGTGTGACTGTCTGTGCAGTGTCTATTTGTGTCTGTCTACACGTTGGGTGAGTGCCGAGTATTTGGTTGTGCATATGGGGTGGGAATGCACGTTTGTGTCCGCGTGTGCCTGTTCGTCTGTGTCTATATGTCAGGTTGGGTCTTAGACTCAACCTCTCTGGGTACATCTCAGGCCCTCTAAAGTACGGAGGCCTATCTCCCCTCACCACACTCCCTGCCGGTGGCTGATGCCCTCAGACGTTGGTGTGTTGGTGGTCCTTGTCGTCTGGGGCTGGGCGCTCATGTATGTACCGGCTCACTCCTGGTGGCCGATTGGCGGGGCCGGGCGCCTGTGGCCCGGCTGGGCTCCTTCCGGGGGGTGGGATGCCCTCAGGCCTCTGGCCTCTGGGCCTGAAGCTCGGTCCTCTCTACTGGCACAGCTGGCTGCCGGCAGAGCCCGCGGGCACGCCACTGCAACCCCCTCTGGCCTCTGCTCCGTAGCTGCGGGGTGACCTCTCCTTTGGGGCTCTACTCAGCTCTTCCCAGGAGGGTGGCACGGTTCCCCCCCTTTGGTGGTCCTCCTCGGGTCCTTGTACTCTGGGGCCTCTGGATATCTGGGGCCTGGATCTCCTCCATACCTGCTTCATACCCTGGTGGACGGGGCTATGGCTCCCCACACTCCCTAGCAGATCGTTACATGGAGAAACCTTTGGAATACAAGCATGCTGATCCACACAGGTATGCACACAGGTGTACACACGGGTGTTCACAGACACGGACTACACCTTTCTTGGCTGCTGCCTCAAAGCACATTGTGCGCTGTCTATCTTGCGTGCTGCACAATATCGTTTATTATTTAATATCTACTGCTAGCTAGTTTATTGTGATGGTGCTGTTTTTTTTATTATGTTGCTCTTTGTTGTTTGCTTTCTCTTCTGTTTTTTTCTCCATACAGGTGATCCAGGTGTTTTGTTTGTTTTTTTTTTCTTCCCCTTCTCACCGTCTCTTCTCCCCTTTGGTTTTCTTTCTCTCCCTCTCTTTCTTTCATTCTTTCTCCCTGTCCTATCCCCCAGTCATGTCTGTCCCGTTTGTAGCAACTGAAAATAAAATAAATTCATAATTATAATAAAGGTCAATCAAATGGACCAATATGGCAAGGCCATGATGATCCACTTGGTAAAATAAATCCGCTTGGCATCTTTCTTGGCCTTAAGACAACAATTCTGATGGCTAAAGATCCAAACGGGACACAAAAAAAAAAAAAAAGATTTCGGCTGAAATAAATTTTACATTCCTATCTACACTCAACAAAAATATAAACGCAACACCTTTGTTACTGCTCCCATTCCCCATGGGATGGACGTAGAGACCTAAAATTCATTCCAGATACACAATATAACCATCCCTCCCAAACAGTGGTCACAAATCAGTCCAAATGTGTGGTAGTGGGCACATCTGCTATATTGAGATAATCCATCCCACCTCACAGGTGTGCCACATCAGGATGCTGATCTGACATCATGAGTAGTGCACAGGTGTACCTCAGACTGCCCACAACAAAAGGCCACCCTGGAATGTGCAGTTTTGTCTCACAGCAAAATGCCACAGATGCCACAAGCAATGAGGGAGCGTGCAATTGGCATGCTGACAGCAGGAATGTCAACCAGATCTGTCGCCCGTGCATTGAATGTTCATTTCTCAACCATAAGCCGTCTCCACAGGCGTTTCAGAGAATATGGCAGCACATCCAACCGGCCTCACAACCGCAGACCTCGTGTAACCACACCAGCCCAGGACCTCCACATCCAGCAGGTTCACCTCCAAGATCGTCTGAGACCAGCCACCCAGACAGCTGCTGGAACAATTGGTTTGCACAACCAAACAATTTCTGCACAAACTGTCAGAAACCGTCTCAGGGACGCTCAACTGCATGCCCGTCGTCCTCATCGGGGTCTTGACCTGACTCCAGCTCGTCGCCGTAACAGACTTGTGTGGGCAAATGCTCACATTCGATGGCGTCTGGCACGTTGGAGAGGTGTGCGCTTCACGGATGAATCATGGTTCACATTGTTCAGGGCAGATGGCAGCTGAGAATGTCCCAGTTCTTGCATGGCCAGCATACTCACCGGACATGTCACCCATTGAGCATGTTCGGGATGTGCTTGACCGGCGTATACGACAGCGTGTACCAGTTCCCACGAATATCCAACAACCTCGCACAGCCATTGAAGTGGAGTGGACCAACATTCCACAGGCCACAATTGACAATCTGATAGACTCCATGCGACGATGTGTTGCACTGCATGAGGCAAATGGTGGTCACACCAGATACTGACCGGTTCTGGGTCCCCAGACCCCCAATAGCGCAAAAAACTGCACATTCCAGGGTGGCCTTTTGTTGTGGGCAGTCTGAGGTACACCTGTGCACTACTCATGATGTCAGATCAGCATCCTGATGTGGCACACCTGTGAGGTGGGATGGATTATCTCAATATAGCAGATGTGCCCACTACCACACATTTGGACTGATTTGTGACCACTGTTTGGGAGGGATGGTTATATTGTGTATCTGGAATGAATTTTAGGTCTCTACGTCCATCCCATGGGGAATGGGAGCAGTAACAAAGGTGTTGCGTTTATATTTTTGTTGAGTGTATAATATAATGCTATTACATCAATATATCACAAGGTTCAGTTAGTTTTGTACAAAAACAGCTGGTAAAAACGACGCATAAAGAGCTTCTCTTTAGTTTCTTACTTTGAGTACATTTCACAGACTGTACTTTTTTACTTTTACTTGAGTAAATAAATGTAATCAGTACTTCAGCTTTTACCAGAGTATTTTTTAACACAAGTATCTGTGCTTTAACTTAAGCGCAGAATGTCTCAATGTTTGACATTCTAGGTAGGACCAATATGTTTACATTACACATGCTCTGCATCGGCAGAGCTGTGAAGCCAGATGATACAAACCAATCAGTTAAACTGCAAGAATGGCTTAAAGACATGGATGCAGATAAAACTGAGGTTTTTGTACCCAGCCCTAAAAATCTTAGAAACATTGTGTCTAACCAGACACTAAGCCTGGATGCCATTACCACCACACTGTGAGGAATCTTGAGTATATTATGCAAATGCTTTCTTGACTTTGCGCAAGAAACACAATATGACTAAAATTAGAAACATAATGTTGCTGATGCTGAAAAACTAATTTATGCAGCTATTACTTCTAGGCTGAACTATTGTAATTTGGGGAGAAGAAAAGAAAAAAAAAGAAAGAAAGAAATGACTAATTCAAGAGTAAAGGACTTCTTGCCTAGTCTGCAGGTTCTTAATGCGCGACAGCATGTCCAGGTGACCAGCGGAGTATTGCTCAATCACGTCCATGACATCGTAGGGTCGCAAGCTCTCTTTGAACCTCCTCTTTGACACCAGGAAGCTCATGATGCTGGGGGGGGAGGGACATCGTTGTTAAACGTGTCACGTGACAGGAAAACAAATGACCAGATCACAGCAGACATTTCAGAATAATTCCCAAGAATTCTCCTGCTCAAAACAAACAAAAAGTGCAATGCAGAGTCAAATGCAAATGAAATATAACAAATCAAAGGTTTATTTATTTAAATGATTAATGCTTTAGGAAAATATGATTGGTACAAACTGAATGCACACCAAATAAAGTCATTTGATCACATTGATCAGATAACATTTTACACTGTACGTATGTAACAGAAGTATATGGAAAATTTACATGTAACCAACTTAAAACCAACATTTTGGGCATACTAAATGGTACTAATGGTAATGGTAGCTGATGGTTGTCATCCATTTTACATTAAATATATATGTTGTCTCTCAAATATCCACAAATGTGTCCTTTGGCAGCTATTTTAAACCACTTCTTTTAAACATAACCAAGCGGTTTATGATGACTAATCCTAAACCAATAGTTTTTGCTGTCTTCTGAATCACCACCACCTCCACATCCTACTAATGAGACCAGTTATTTCTGAGCATCTAATATCACTGAGGCTGATGCATCGAGGCACCAGCGTCAAACGACACATCATGCACATCTCTGGACGTCAGCAGCAGCCGACACCCTGGCATGGCAACCAGTGTTGGTCAAGTTCCTTGAAAATAGTATTTAGTTACTAATTATTGATTACCTCTCCAAGAAAGTAATCATTACTTTACTGATGTTATTTTCAAAAGTAATTAGTTACTTTATTATTAGTTACTTTTTAAATACACAACCTGAATACATAATAAAGCAATAGACCTTTCAGCCCAATTCTATTTGTTCTGCATAATCCATCATATAAAATCGAATCTTTTTAAAACTTGTCAGAATCTTTTAACTTAACCACATTCTAGCTAATAGTCCATCATTGTACATTATTTATTATTATTACTTCTAATACGCCTACTTCTTTAAACACTGAAATAGCTACACAGATGACCACAGATATTATTTTTACACTACATGAAATAACCAATCACAGAACCATAAAAACCTCTTATTCAGAGAGTCCTTACCAGATTGCTCTGATTGCAACTTTCAAGCCTGGTGGTAACTCTTGAGTGAAGAATTCACAGTGGCAGCTCTTATCGTCACCAACTTCCTCTCCCGGAAGGCTCGCCTCTAGAAAGCAAATGCAAGGACACTCTTTTAAAAAAATATTACATCTGCTTCCGCATGACAAACGTCACCAGCAGAAGCAGAGCAGAGCCGTCGCTTTCAGCGCCAAAGGTGCAAGTGTCCGTGTTACAGTTGGTCTCAAGCCAGTTAGCCAGTTTGGGAGTGTGTGAGCAAGCTTCGTGGGACGACAGGTAAAAAGATTCGGTGCAGAATTGAAGGATAGTGCTGAGGTGATAAAGCTTTACTGTAACCTTCAAAGACAGGTACTCTCTTCCCACCACCAATTACAGATTAGCACTGGAAGGCTGGTCTACAGAATTTAAAGCATATTGCATGGAGTTGTCAAGGCCTAATTAGTGGAAATCAGAAATTTTCTGAGAATCTGGTAGGGAAAGTGAGGTCTCCTCATGCAAGCTAAAGCAGGGTTTGGGGGCATGTCTCTGGGTCAGTTTTGGATAATCTCGGCACCACTTGACTTGAACCCGTTTAGCTTAGCCTACTGCTACCATAAATACAAATGTATTACATGAGGTGCTCTAACAATCATAACAAGTAAATATGGAATAATTAGTTCCATGGGAGACTCTGCTAGACTCATGCCCTCAGTCATCACAGTGAGAAAAACAGCATAACAAAGGGTTCATGTCAAGTGAACATATCTCAGCAGATATCAGCATGCAGGTTTCTCAGACTGGGTGAAGCTGACTTGTCTTTGGATAATTTTCCCTATAGAAGTCCATCCATCCATTCCGCTTATCCTTTTCAGGGTCGCGGGGGGCGCTGGAGCCTATCCCAGCTGTCATAGGGCGAGAGGCAGGGTACACCCTGGACAGGTCGCCAGTCTGTCGCAGGGCTAACACACAGGGACAGACAACCATTCACACACTCGCACATTCACACCTAGTGGCAATTTGGATTATCCAATTAACCTATCCCCACAAGCTGCATGTCTTTGGACGGTGGGAGGAAGCCGGAGTACCCGGAGAGAACCCACGCAAACACGGGGAGAACATGCAAACTCCACACAGAAAGACCCCGGCCTGATGGTGGAATTGAACTCAGGACCTTCTTGCTGTGCGGCAACAGTGCTAACCACCGTGCCACCGTGCTGCCAATGCCTTACTTATTAAACCTTCAATTGCTGCAAAAAGAGAGAGAGGAGAGACATGGGAAAAGATTTGTTATGGATTCTAGCAGGATGAAAATGGCAGACAAATCAATTCCAAACATGGAAAACTGTGGAGTCTATTGAATGGTTTCTGGATCATGTTTGAACGGGCTGGTCTCTCTTCTCTTAGATTTAAGCTTACCAATTACATATGTTTCAAAGCTTTATATAACATGTATGGTAAACTATACAGCTAGACATTATAGACTACGTTACAGTCTTTACTGAAGACATGTCATGATGACTTGTCTAACCTGGAGAACTCTTCAGTCCAAAGTCTTCGTCCTGCATTTCAATCAGCACTTAAACATGCCATGAAGTGAAAGAAGAAAGACAGCTAATGAGATTTGGTTCACATTGCTTAACAGAAAGCAAAGAAATGGAGAGAGAAGAGAAATATTCTAATGATAGTGACACAGATGACACATGGATGCAGTGGGACTGTCTAGCACTAAATGATGACACCACACCACGACATCCAAAGTGACGGTCTCCTGAATGTGTTCTTAAAAATTTGATTTGTCATAGAAGTGACAAATTTTTGTATACATGAAGGGAACATACATGTCTGCATGATAACTCAGCTACAGTCTCCACATTGATTGCATCTCAAAAAGGTTTTGACAGTAACTTCTAAACTCACACAGCTGGTGAGCTGCTGACCTGGCACTGCTCTGCTACATGTTCACTGGCAGCAACTGAATGTTTGTCAGATAAACTGTTGATCACAAACAAGTTTTGCCAAAGTATTCTGTGGCTAAAAGTTTACTCGTCCTGGGCATGAATGTCATGGTAAGTTGTTGCTTTTATTGATTTCGATAAACTGTTCTTTTTCTAAGGTCAAGTGATTGTACAGCATATAACCAGTGTTGCCAACTCCTCAGTAAGGAAAATCGCTATTGGTTGTCCTAAAAGTCGCTAGAAGTCGCTAAATGACGTCATCGCCCAATTTGCATAATTGGTCATGCTAATCTAATTGTAACCTATGTTGTTGGAGAGAGAAATAACATCATGGAAGAGACAAAGTGAGTAAAAAACGTCCTAAATGCATTTAGAGTTTATTTAGAACTACAAATTAAATTTCTTTTAGCAATTATTGTTTTTTTAATGTCACAATTCCAACCCTGCTCCTTTACCCGGGCTTGGACCGGCAAAAGTGACCCGAAATAGGCTCTGGTGGAGTTACTTTGTGTGTGTGTGTTTATAAGTAGTTTTAAACCTTGTGATCCACAAAACAGCATAAGAGTAAAAGAAGAACTGACTGCGTTACAGCACCCGCTGCTTGTTGAGAGTAAAAGCGATACGCGCTTTCACGTCTTTTTTTAGCGACTTTTTTTTAGAAAAAAAGTCACTAAGGGGTCTGAAAACTCGCTAAATATAGCGACAAAGTCGCTAAGTTGGCAACACTGCATATAACGGTATACCTGGTAGCTATCACCTAGCTTATGACATAATTGTGTCTGGATATTTAAACTTGTTTGTTTCCTGGTATGGACCATTACGGCTTTTAAGTAGAATTCCCAAATTTTCAATAAGCCTGAGTTTGGGGCTTTTGGAAGTATATTCAAAAAGCTTAATATCTTAATGTAATGTTAATACAGCTGAAAAATTTAGAGGCAGTCCTCATTTATTCATTTTATTCATCCTTTAAAGTACCAGTACTGCTGGCAGCAAAACAGCTACAGAGCATGATGCTACCGCCACCATGCTTGACAGCTCATACAGGGTTGTTAGGTTTGAACACCTCACCTTTAACTCCTCCAAACATCTCTTGTCACTGGGGCCAAATAGCTCAACCTTTGTCTTGTCTGACAATAAAACCTTCCTCCAGAAGGCATTTAGCTTGTCCATGTGGGCAGCTGCATATTTCAGTTGAGCTTGATGGGCTTGATTTTGAAACAGGAGCTTCTTCTTGGTTGGTACCCCCTCAGTCCACAGTGATGTAAAACTTGCTTCACTGTGTACCTTACAGCAGTTTCCAGTTAATGTCTGGTTTGAGCCTTGGGCTGTTCAGGAACATGCTAACTAATTTTCTCTTGTCTTATCTGAGGGTGACAGTCTGGGTCTTCCTCTGGACCTTAGAAAACTGGCGACACGTCTGAATAACTTGTATGTTTAAACCGATTGTCCTGGAATCTGCAAGTGTTTAGAAATGGACTATTAAACTTCAGGAATGGACAAATCCCCAACGATCAACTCTACGGAAAATTTGTGTGCTATGCTCAAAAGCTAGGTCCCTGCTTGGAAACCAACATGTTTAAATAAACTCTACCAATTCTGCCAGAAGCTTGTTGATGGCAACCAAAAGCATCTGGTCAAGGTGCAACTTCCCAAAACATTTAGCCAAATATTAGTTGAGGTGTATGTATACTTTTGACCCCGTGTGGATCTTATGCAGCCAATTCTTTTAAGAAAAAGTTATTATTGATGTATCCTGTACAATTCTGGACCTCAGAAACAGAACAGTTGAGAAAAAACATTAAAAACACACACTTACCATTTATGCCCATGATGAATGTATGTATACTTCTGGCAATGATTGTATATTGAGCTAGTGTTACTAGTAGTGTTATAGTTACATAAGATTTGGTTGGTTTTGTTTTCAGTTTTCTTTAATATAAATAATTTTGACTCCTAAAGTTTGGTCTCTGAACAAATAGCCAAGGTCATACTGGCTCAAATGAATTCCTGGAAATTTTGGGAAGTGCACTTAACTTGAATTCTTCTGGAACGTTAGATATCACGTTTGTGTATGCAAGCTAAATGTGAAGCCGGAGCACAGAGATGAGACACAGGAGGAAGCAGCAACCCGCTCACCTCTGCTTCCAGGCTCCATACAAAAGCTAGGGCCTCCATGTCCTGAATGTAGTTTCATATTCACAACACCCACATCTCTTTTAATAAGTGTCTGCCATTTTCTACAGTTTTCATGATGGTTTGAATACAGTTTCTGAGGTTTCCCCACCTACAACAATAGAATTCTCCAAGTCTCTACACTGTATGGCTGTGTATTCAGTTATACTACACAACACTACTACACTCATTCTGGTCAGATGATGATCAGTTTCCTCACCCTCTGAGTTTTTGCGCGAGGTGCTGCCCTGAGCTTTGAAGGCATTTTTCGCCCCTCGGTTCTTGTCGGTGAAGCTCCAGCTCTTGGTGACCTTGCTGGGGCTTGCTTCAGCACCATCATCTGCTCCACCTGGAGACTGGGCTTTCCCCTTGGACACAGGAGCCTTAGAAGGACTGGGAAACAGTTTGTCCTTCAGACTCAGCTTCCGACTAAAACAGGAAGTAACAATACAGTAAATTAAGCCTGTTTAACTCTGCATTTATCAGCATCATTTTAATGAAAGACTACCTGTAGCTAAATGTCTGTATTCTACTGTGTTTAAGCCCTAGCTTGTGAATTTGTAGAATTCATCTGCAATGTGATAATAAATCTTACCTCAGCAGAAATGCAAAATGGGCAATGTCCTACAGCAGAAGGAGCCATGTCCACAAACGAACATAGTAGAGCATTCGGTGGTTCAGGCAAGCAGCAGGAAGCTACAAGCAGGCATGCATGGGAAGCAAAGTGACACTGTGCGTCTCAAAAGGAAGAGCTGTGGTCTGGCTCTATGCAAAAAAAGTGAACACAAATCATGCAACAAAAAAATAAAATCATTGTCGTATGGCACGTGGTAACCATTAGGTAATCAGCAATATGCACCTTGCCTGCTGAACGGGGCTGAGTGGGCAAAAAAGACAGCCAGCAAATCAACTGCAAGACGTTACTAAACAGAAACCATAAAAGAAGGATGTAAATCTGCACCTTTCCTGGGGAAAGGGTAAAAGTTAGAAATAGCTCTTTGTTGCTTTTACGTGTGAATCTCCTCATGTAGACATCAGAAACAAAGCTTCACTACGCTACAAATAGTAACAAGTCGGATTGTGTACTTTCCGTAGTGCTACATGTCCTTATTCTGTGACTCCTCTACCTTTACTTGCACTTGCAGAAGAAAAGAACATTGGTAGGAATAGAAGGAGACACACAGACTTGCAGTGCAGTTGTTAGTATCTGTGCAGCAACTATACCTAATAGCTCTCGGACAGCACCCACAAAGTCTGTCTTTGTGTGCATTTTCATTACTGGAGTGGTGGGCAGTAGGAGGAGACCAAAAAAGATAAACTAGAAGTGGGTAGAGTCACAAAAACAGCAGTGTGTGCCAAGATGCCAGTAACGCTTTACTGTGACTGTAATTTATTGCTCATTTAAAGAATAAAATTTTTTGGTTTTATTCATTTTGCCATTTAAACGATTGTCTGATTTTACACGTGAGTCTAAAATATGCAATTGGATTATAAGGAGGTTTGTCATTCAGCCACGATCAAGTGTTACCACCTTGTCAATAGTTACACTTGTTTTCTGTGTTAAAAAACAGAGTGATAGAAAAATCAAGCAAAAGTGTTCAAAATCACTTTTTTCCCAAGGTGATGCTGAAAGGTAGACTATCAAAGAACAGCATATCGGTTAATATTTAATAAAGCTGCCAGTTGGGAATGAGGCCAAAGTGAGCTGATCTTTGAGCACCATGTGAGCAAATGCAGCGTGACCGTTCTTGAAGGAGGCACTTAACACGCAGCCACACCCATGTCACACACACAAACCCCCACTCTCGCACACTGATGTACAGTAAGCACACTCCCCCAAGAAGAGTGTCTCAGCAGCAGCTAAGAGCAGAATTGAAGAGAAGGCAAAGGAAAGAGGCGAGAGATAAAACCAGATCACAGACCTGGGAGAGGTTTCTGTTTGTGACTCCTTCCTGTGAGCAGAAAAGGCATAAATGTTACACAATGTAAGATACAAGTTATGGACATGGATGAAAAATTATCTGTAAAAACCTGAAAAAAAACCCCCAATATATATGTTACCACACGGGGGCAGTGGAAACAAGTTCTAAACAACAGCAACAGTTGCCTGCTTACACTGAATGATCTTTCATATTTCTATGAAGATTAAATTTTGTGATGAGTGTCCAGTATTTACTCACTCTTCTGCAATGTTTTTTGTCTCCACTGACAAAAGAAACCTTAGGCTATTAAGTAAATACAGAAGGTAAATGGACTGGTTCTTATATAGCACTTTTCTACCCTGCCTGAGCACTCAAATCGCTTCGTTCACATACAAGCACTTTTTTCTATTCTTAAGTGCTTCCTATCTCCTATTCACACTTCAGCACCTTGGGGTTCAAAGAATCTTCATTTTCAAACCAACCAAAAAGTTGACACATTTTCTCTTAATATGTGAAAACTACAGTGAGCCTCATAACACGACTCGAACAGGTATTCTCCAGGATCTAAACCTGGACCTTTATTGTTAAGATTTTGCATTCATAGGCAATTGGTACGGTGGCCCTGAGAGGCCAAACACACTGCAACTTAGGAAAACACCAGCAATAAGAAAAACGCTGCAAAGTGCACAAAACACAACGGAAATAGAAAAAAAGAATAGGAAAAACAGATTTCCAAAGCACAAGGGAAGTGTTTCTGGGGAGACAATAACCGACGGACCAGTTGCAGGAACCAAAATATGCTAAGAATTGCGCTGGGAGACACTTAAAAGAAGTGGAGGATCTATCGGTTTTGTGAGGAAAGAAAAGATGAGAGGTAAGTGTGTTAGCCTAACTATTAGCCTAAAAGATCTCGTCATCAGTATTATATGAATCATGATAAAACACACCTACCATGTTTCTGGGTTCCTGCAACTGGTTCGTCAGGGTTATTTTCTCCCCAGAAACAATTCCTTGTGTTTTTGAAATCTGTTTTTTCCTTTTTTCGTTGTTGTTTTTCTTATTTCTGTTGTGTTTTGTGTGCTTTTGCAGCATTTTTCTTATTGCTGGTGTTTTCTTAGGTTGTAAGTAAGCTAAGTAAGTAAAACTTTATTTATATAGCACCTTTCAAGATAAAAATCACAAAGTGCTTCACAGAAGCTAAAACCTAAAAATAAAAATCAACTAAAAGCAAGTTTAAAAAGATGGGTTTTTAGCTGTTTTTTAAAAGCGACCACTGAGTCCACAGATCTCAGGCTCAAAGGGAGAGAGTTCCACAATCTGGGGGCCACAGTTCCAAAAGCTTTGTCGCCTTTTGTTTTCAGCCTCGTGTGTTGGACAGCAAGCAAGCCCTGGTCACATGACCTCAGGGACCTGCTGGGAATGTATGGATGTAAAAGTTCACTTATATATGTTGGTGCTTGTCCCAAGCTGAAAGTCAAGGTCAAAACCTTAAACTGGATTCTGAATTTAACGGGGAGCCAGTGCAGCTGAATCAGCAGGGGTGTGACATGGGAAAACTTGGAGGACTTGGTCAGAAGCTTTGCAGCAGCGTTCTGAACAACTTGCAGACGCTCCAAAGAGGCTTTACATAAACAAGTAAACAAAGAATTACAATAGTCCAGACGAGATGAAACAAATGCATGAATGACAATTTCTAATTCGGAGCGCGATACAATGGGACTCAGCTTAGCAATGTTTCTCAATGATAAAAACAGGAGCGAACCAAAGATTTTACATGGGCATCCAAAGTCAGAGCTGAGTCAATACTAACACCAAGGCTCCTGATAGACGGTTTTGCAAATGTAGCAAGTGGACCCAAGTTTTCCATAACACTAGGTACAAAATTTTTAGGAGCACAAACAAGAACTTCAGTCTTCTCCTCATTTAGTTGAAGAAAGTTTCCAGCCATCCAACATCTAATGGAGTCTATGCACTTGTGCAAAATCTGTAGCTTGGAAACATCACTGGGGCTTAAAGGAGATATATACCTGAATATCATCTGCATAGCAGTGATACGAAATGTCCTTAAAAGTGCTCAATAAGTGTTGAAGAGGAAGTAAATACAGTAAGAACAATAAAGGCCCCAAAACTGAACCTTGTGGCACACCATAGGCAAGAAAAGTAGAAGAGGAACTGTACTTAGAGGTAGCCACAGAAAAGGATCGTTCATGCAAATAGGATTCAAACCAGTCCAAAGCAGCCCCTGATATACCCACCCAGTGCTCTCAGCCTATCTAGCAGAATATGATGGTCCACAGTATCAAAGGCGGAGGTCAGGTCCAACATCAACAGAACGGAGCATTCTCCTGCATCACATCTCATCAAAATGTCGTTGGAGACTCTAAGAAGTGTAGTTTCAGTAGAGTGAGCTCTACGAAAGCCAGATTGGAATTTATCCAGAATGCTGTATTCATCTAGAACAGCTATAAGCTGCTTAGCCACAACCTTTTCTAAAATCTTAGAAATGAACGGTAATTTTGAAATCGGTCTGTAGCTACTGAGAAGAGAAGCATCAAGCTTAGGTTTTTTTAACAGTGGGTGAATAACAGCATTCTTACAATAAACAGGGACCTGACCAGAAACCAGTGAGGTATTGATAATTGTGAGCACACAGGGACCAATAGGTTGCAGTCCGTTTGGCCTCTCACGGCCACCGTACATTTGTTAGGCATACCTGTTCAACTGCATTGCTTATCGCAAATATCTAATCACACTGCAGCAATTCACTGCATTGTGGCCAAAACGTCCTGCTGACATTCAAACTGAGCATCAGAATGGAGAAGAAAGGTGATTTAAGTGACTTTGAACATGGCATGGCTCAGACAGGTTAGTTAGAGCATTATAGGAACAGGATCTGCTGGGATTCTCCCCACACAACCGTCTCAAGGGTTTACAGAGAACGGTCTGAATATATTATAATTATAGTAACTTAAACAACCACTCGTTACAGCCAAGGTATGCAGAAGAGCATCTTTGAACGCACAGCACGTTGAGCTTTGAGGTAGATGGGCTACAGCAGCAGAAGACCACACCTGTCAACAGGAAACTGAGGTTACAATTTGCACAGGCTTACATCTCTGCTTCCAGCAGGATAATGAGCAACATCACAAAGCTCAAATCATCTCAAACTGGTTCCTTGAACATAATAACATGTTCACTGTAGTCAAATGGCCTCAACAGTTACCAGATCTCAATCCAGTGGAGAACATTTGGTTTGTGCTGGATCAGGAGATTTGCAGCACTGATGTGCAGCAAGCACATTTGCGACTGGGTGACGCTATCATGCCAATATATCCAGCTCCTTGTTGAATATTTGTTATAAAGAATTCAGGCAGTTCCGAAAGCAAAATGGGGTTTAACTAACTTCTACCAATGTATAACTAATAAATTGTCTGGTAAATGTATATTAATGAATTTTCTAAGTGTCGCACAGGTTTTCCACTCAAGTGGGGTTGAAAATTTGCTCTGGCTATAGAGCCAGTGAATCTGTCAGTGTTCTTCCCTGCTTGCCCATTACAAATAAACTAATAGAAGAAAACAATAGTTTAAAAAAATGTTCCATAAAATTCATTCATTATGGTCACAGGTTGATGTTTGCATCAACAAGGTGTGTTTTAAAATAAATGTTTGGTTAGCCTCTTTTTTGTTAATCTACAGTAAATGAACTGAGTGCAACAATGAGCTAAGTGCACACAAAAGCTGGTAACACAAAAGGAAGGCCCAGCGATACAGGAAGTGTAGCGCAAAGTGTGCGGCAAGCAGACCAGACTCACAGGGTTCAGGTGAGATCTTATTCCTTTGTGACAATCAAGGCATTCAGTGTATATTTTGGGCAGTGCACATAGTTATTTCAGCCTCTGATGCCCTGGTCCTTTCTATTTCCAGATCACTGAGTCACTGTTGGTGTCATCATAATGAGATCATGCTATCACACCAACAACTTTGTCACTCCTAATGTCATTGTTATACCTGAATGATTTGCCCTTCAGATTCCTCAGCAGGTCCAGCTGATTCAGAGGTGGGATAAGTCTGGGAAAAGACAAAGAAGAACTTCAAAGAAGTCGTTCTAGCAAGACAGCCTCATCAGCTCAGTTGCAAAAGGTGAAAGCTCGCCTTTGGGCTTTTTAAGCTAATTGCCTTAAGTTATGTTCAGTTGGTCATAACCTTTTCTGCTTAAATTACAACTGGAATGTAAGTGAACTCATTTCAAAATAGACAACTAATGATTTTCTACTTCTAGATTAAAAGCAAAAGAAATCTGTGTTGTGAGAGTCGAGCAAGGCAGCTTATTTGCTAATTCATACAGCTGGACACCAAAATGTCTGCTTAATTTTTCAAATTGGCCAAGGGCAGTATTTGTCTTTTGAACGGCATTTCAGAGTGCCACTGCCAAGACTCTCATCTGCTTCTCCGTTAAAAAGAAAAGCCTTATTAAAGCAGAAAGTGTAAAGCCACACCGGTGTGTGATTCTTCTGATCCAAGAAAGATGTTTAGAATACAATAAGATGAGGTTATTCTGTGAGCTCAGTTTTCAACTTGGCTTTCAAGGTTCAGAAAGAAGGCAGAATGTGATATGGGTAAACAGTTGTATTTGCTGAAAATGCTGAATAATGTGTAGCATGATTCAACCACTTTATTTGATCGGTTACCTGTACATCGGAATAGCTACAGTCTGCTCATAAAAATCCCACGTGGACACCAGATCTGTACGGGAAAGGTTGGTGGCATAAAACCTCCAAGCAGCCTGGGTGAGGAAATTTTTAAAAAGGCTTCTCAGTTTTTTTGTTTGGAGAATTAAACAGTGTTTAAAATGAATCTAGTGATCTTATCACACATACCTGTATGAGGCCTGCAGCGGGTGTTTCTCAACTCTCTTCCTGTAGGGCAAACAGACCCGTGCCTTACAACAGAACCTAATCTGACTTACATATGGCGAGGAGAATTGACACGCTGCTCTCCTGTCTACAGCTAGACAAACACTGGTTATCGAAATGTGGTAAACGTGCAAGTTGCGAAAGGGTGTCAAACAGTTCCTGTATACGACGATGACTCCAGAGCTATGCATTGTACTAATCTGTGACACAACACGACAACAGCCACGAATACCCAACTCAGTTTTAAAGAAAACATGAATAATGAACCAAGTTTTTTCAGCTCCTTTTAGAAGCATCGGTTGCACTAAGATTTCTTTGGACTATCAAAGACTGGACGCTTGTCCCAAAAAGAAAAACATTTGCAGTTATTTCCTCACACAGCTTCTATGGTGTTTTGGTGATCTGATGAATACAAATCTTATTTTCACTGTCGCTGTACCTGTAAAAAAAACTGGCTCTCTAGCTCAACTACATTCACCACCTGGTTGCTGCTTTTTTATGTCAGTTATTGGGCAATGGACCTGCTTGAGTGATGAGATGAGCTACATGATTTGAATAAAAAGGTTAATGAGAGTCATTGAAGTGGGATAAAACAGGATGTTTTCTGGGCTTTAAAACGAAAACATTTAGCTGATAGACACTAAAATGCTAGGTGTTGGGTGCTAAATGTGCTATCCTGTTGTCATTTCAGGTTACTCACTTGATTAGATACATTTCAAATCCATAATGTTGAATCCATAGCATGAATGCACTACTGTAGTTATGATATCAAACTAAATGAAACCATAACCTATGGAAGAGCCTGCCAGAGAACACAGAGTATATTCTCTTAGGGCAGAGCAGTGAGATCAGGCACATATGCACTTACAGAGAACATCATAATGGAGAGAGAGTAAAGGCATATAAATGAGGATCATTTATGATGTGCACTTTGTGTGAACTCTTGTCAGCGGCTTCAACGCCCTAAAGACAAGCCTACATACTTACAGCAGGAAGGGCAAAGAAGGCAACGCCGATCAAGCTGAACGTGGCTGCTAGTAAGCGTCCATTCCAGGTTTTGGGAACCTTATCACCATAACCAATGGTGGTAAGAGTTATCTGGTACAAAAAAATAAAAAACAAACATTAAATAGCTTTTTTTGTAAAACTGGAAATAAAGTAAAATGAACATTTCTAAGCTGAATATTTGTCAAAAATGCATGTTGTAAAACAGAAAGCAAATACTGCAGATCCATGTTGTCCTTGTTTTTTCGAGTTAGTCTTACCAGTCCCCACCAAAGAGCATCAGCATACGTGTCAAACTCATTATTTGACTCCTTTTCCACAGAGTAGACCAGGAATGAGGCCAGGATGAGGCACAGGAAGCCTATGTACCACGCTGTGATGAGCTCCTACAGAGAAAACCAATACAGTGACCACTGGGAAATTAAAGTAATTAAGTGTCATCTTGAATGCCTTGCAAAAGTGGCAATGTAACCTCTGTCAATGGGTACAAATGACTATTCTGTAACAATATTGGACATCATATGTGAATTTCTTGCCCTGTGCGGCGAACCAAGCATTTCATAAACATCTTTATTTCCCTC